AAGCTTTTGGTGGGTCTACTATGGAGTTAATGGCACATCCTTGGTAGACAGCAGCATGTTTCCAAATATCCACAGTGATTTTTATTTACTCCTGGGAAAAGCAGGGAAAAAATAATCCATAAAATTTCCTTCTTGCTTAAAAGCAAAACATCTGTAGGAGGCCCAAGAGTCTTGCTGGCTGAGTTCACTAACATAAAAGCCTGTATTTTGTGAGCTTTTCTCTCATTAAAAAATCAATATCAACTATTATGGAAGCCTTCCAAAGAACATAGGGAACATTCACCCAGTTTAAAATGTTTATCACACCCATTATTATATCAGATATTTCCCAGCAGAAATCTTTCTAACTTTGCTGTGTGGCAAGGAAGAGTATCTACTTCCCTAAGCATAAGTATCAAATAGATTTGAAATTGGCAAGAGAATAGAAGGAGAAAACTTTTAAAACATGCCTCTTTTTTAAAGAGACTTATCTGTTCATTATTTCTACTGTTATCTTGGTCACCCCACCTCTTTCCTATCAATTAAACTTATTACCAATGCAGTCTAGGCTAGGAGGGACTCAAACCACAGTGTGGTGGGTCAGAGAAGAATAGATGTGGGTAAAGTGGGCCCAACTATAAGGCTATCCTTTCTCTATTGTGCACAAAGTCACAACACTCAAAGCCTTCTCTCCAAGAAATGGCTCATGTCAATAAGAGTAAACCTAGCACTGGTCACCTTTAGTCAGCCTCATGATAAAGAGAGAGCTGGGGTTCATTTGGTCTATCTAAATCAGTCTGCACTTGGCAGGCAATGTGTTGTGAGTGTGAGAGTAAATACATGCATAGGTGCATGCTGTTGGGGAAGGAATACAAAGTTCAGTTTCTAAGGAGCTGTTGGACAGACACCTATTCAAGCAGATACGAATTCAGAGTATCCAGACAAACTAAAATGAAATTCAAACCCTAGGGAAGAAGCCTGTTCTTAGAAAATGGAGAACCATGGTATGGTAAAGAGAAAAACTGTCTAAATAACCACACAGATATATCTATGATACTAAGCATAAAATTGATGAGATGAAAACTAATCTGGACTCTATTTACTGTTGAAAATATGCTTTCCAATGTATGGTTGATTTTTGTTAAGTGAGTAGTCAAGATTTAACTTGGTAGTTGTAGGTTTCCAGTGCCTAATAGGATCAGATATGTGTTAATTCACTGACTTATCACCTATTCATTATCTCACAGACATTAATTAAGTTCCAATTATTTATAAAACAACATGCTAGGTAACACAGACAGAAATTCACTATTGAATAAAAACCCAGTCCCTGTTCTCAAACAACTGTCTACTGGGACAAACATTTATGAACAAAACATTGTAAAAGCTAGGAAGCAGTAAGTACTATAAAAGAGGTAGGAACAAGATATGATTGCTATACAAAGAATCCGTTTTTAAATTATATTGAGAGGTTCAGTGATACTTCAAGGAGAAAGAATTATTGAGCTGAGCCTTAAGAAAGGATTTTAGTACTCAAGAAGGGAGAGTAAAGATACTCCTCACAAA